TTTTTTCTCTCTTTACACCAAGATTCACCCAAAAGCAAGATTATCGAAGAAGAAGAAATACATACAAGAGAAAAAACCTATTTATGAACCAAAAGTTGTATGTGTTGAAGATGCAAGAAGGGTCTGATATGACGCAGTATGTTAATGACTTCAATCAAATAATCACAGAACTGTCATAGTTTGATGTGAGTATTGAGGATGAAGATCGAACAATGATTTTATTGTGTTCGTTGTACTCTTCTTATGAACATCTGGTGACTACTCTGACATATGGGAAAGAAACTATCAAAGTTGATGAGATTACTGCAGCATTGTTGGCTCAGAATCAGCGAAAGCAGAATGTAGGGGAAAGTTCTCACGACGACAGTTTATATGTTAAGGGAAAGCAGTATCGTGGAAGGAAGAAAGAGAAAGAGGGTTCTGAAAGGCGAAATTTCATATCCAAGTCCAAAGGCAAAAAGACAATTCATTGCTTCAGTTGCAAGGAGCCAGGTCATATGAAGAGAGATTGTCCAAAACTGAAAAAACAGATTGGGGAGAAATGTGATACATCATCGAAGTCTGTAAATGTGGCACAGAGTGACAATTCAGATTGCAATGATGGTGATATGATATGGATGGTGATATGTTTTCAGTTTCATCAACTCAGTTCATAGATGCATGGATTCTGGATTCAGAGTGCTCTTATCACATAACACCTAACAGGGAGTGGTTTAATTCATACAGGTCAACTAATTCTTGCTCAGTCTATTTGGGTGTTGATAGATGTTGCAATATTGTTGGTATTTGAGAAGTCAGAATTCAGATATATGATGACACAGTTAAAACATTATGTGATGTCAGACATATTCCAGATCTGAAGAAAAATTTGATTTCCCTGGGCACTCTACACATAAATGGTTTTATTCTTGAGGCAAATGAGGATAGGGAAACCAACAAAATTGTTAAGAATGCACTGCCGGTGATAAAAGGAAAGTTAACTGCAGGCAATATCTACAAATTGTTGGGGAGTACAGTTGTAGGTGAAGTTCATTTTATGCAGTCAGATGATGACAGTACAAAGCTATGGCATATGCGTCTGGGTCATCTCAGTGAAAGTGGGATGGCAGACTTGCATAGAAGAAACCCGTTGCATGGTGTTAAAAGCTACAAGCTCGATCTTTGTAAGTTCTGTATTATTGGAAAACAGACTAGAGTCAGTTTTATGACTGGAAAGCACATAACTGAAGGGATTCTTGATTATGTGCATTCTGATGTATGGGCCCTACTATGGAGTTGTCATTGGGAGGATCTCAGAATTTTGTTGCATTTATTGATGATTTCTCCAGGAAAGTTTGGGTGTATTTCTTGAAGCAGAAATCTGAAGTCTTCTCTAAATTCAAGTTGTAGAAAGCTCAGGTGGAGAACCAAACTGGCAGAAAGATCAAGTATTTGAGGTCCGATAGTGACACATAGTACACATATTCGCAGTTTCAGAAGTTCTGTGAGGAGCATGGGATTTAGAGGCATTTTTTAGTGCGCAAGACACCACAACAAAATGGTGTGGCAGAAAGATTGAATAAGTCATTAACTGAAAGGGAAAGATGCTTGAGACTGAATGCAGGGCTTCCTAAGAGTTTCTGGGCAGAGGCTGTGAATATGACATGCTATCTCATCAATAGATCACCTCGAGCATCATTGGGTGGCAAGGTCGCAGAAGAGGTATGGACATGTAATCCAGTTAAATTCGATCATTTACGGATTTTTGGTTGTCCTGCTTATGTGCATGTACTTGGAGATGAAAGATCCAAACTTGATGCAAAATCCAAGAAGTGCAGTTTTCTGGGCTACAAGAAAAGTGTGAAAGGATACAAGTTTTGAGATCTGATTGCAAAGAAGATGGTGATCAGCAGAGATGCAGTTTTTTATGAGCAGTTTATGTTACAGCAGAATCAAGACAAGGTGCCAGAGAAGAGTTCCAGTTCAGATGTAGTGCATATGGATTTAGAACAACAACCAATTGCTTCTGAGAGAGGTGAAAGTTCAAATCCAACACCTGGTGATTCTATTCCAGATGATCTGCAGAATTATAACCTAGCTAGAGATAGACAGAGACGTACCAATGTAAGGCCTCCTAGCAGATTGGGTTATGAAGATTTGGTCTCTTGTGCACTTCTCATCAGCAGCGATGATCCAACCACTTTTCAAGATGCTATCGCTAGCCAGGAGATAGAAAAATGGATGGGTGCAACGGTTGAGGAGATGAAGTCTTTGCAGAAAAATTGTACATAGAAGCTAGTTCAGCTTCCTGAGGGAAAGAAGGCTATTGGTTGCAAGTGGGTCTACAAAAAAAACCAACAGTATCATAAAAAGAAGGGAAAAATTTTAATGCTCGACTGGTTGCAAAGGAATTTTGATAGCAGAAAGGGTAAATTATGATAAAATCTTTTCTCCTGTGGTCAGACATACTTCAATCAGGGTCAATCAGGGTTTGCATTAGTAGCTATTTGAGATTTACATTTGGAGCAGATGGATGTTAAAACTGCTTTCTTGCATGGTGATTTGGAGGAGCAGATTTACATGGAGCAGCCAGAAGGGTTCACTAAACCTGGACAGGAGCATATGGTTTGCAGGTTAAAGAAATTGTTGTATGAGTTGAAATAGTCTTCAAGATAATGGTACAAGCGGTTCGACTCCTACATGATTCAGATTGGCTACAAGCGATGTGAGTGTGATTGTTGTGATTACGTGAAGAGCCTTGATGATGGTTCTATTATTTTTCTGTTACTGTATGTTGATGATATACTGATTGCTGCAAAGAATATGAATGATGTCCGTGGTTTGAAAACTTTATTGAGCCAGGAATTTGACATGAAAGACTTGGGTCCTACGAAGAAGATTCTTGGAATGGAGATTCATTGAGACAGAGGCTCAAGACGATTATGTTTATCTCAACGAGGCTATGTTGAGAAAGTGTTGGAAAAGTTTGAGATGAGCAAAACAAAGCCTGTAAGCACTCCCTTGACAAATCATTTTAAGCTTTCTTCAGAACAGTGTCCTAAGACAGATACATAAATCGAAGACATGGCAAAGGTTTCATATGCCAGTGCAGTTGGCTGCTTGATTTATGCAATGGTATGTACTCGTCCTGATTTGGCTAATGTTGTTAGTCAATTCTACAAATACATGGCTAAACCTGGAAGGTGACATTGAGAAACAGTCAAGTGGATTTTCAGGTATCTAAAGGGAATTGTAGGACATGAAATTATCTTTGGCAGTCAGCAGAATGATTCTTCAGTTGTAGGGTACGTTGATTCAGATTATGCAGGTGATTTGGATGGTAGAAGGTCTACAACTGGGTATGTGTTTACTCTTGGTGAAAGGCCTATATCTTGGAAATCAACAATTCAGTCTATTGTGGCATTATCTACAACTGAAGCTGAGTACATGGCAGTAGCTGAAGCTGCTAAAGAAGTCTTATAACTTACTGGGTGCTTGCTGGGCTAGTAAAGGAACTGAGCATTGAGCAAGGTGGAGTTCAGTTGCAATGTGACAGTCAGAGTGCTATTTATCTGGCTAAGAACCAGGTGTACCATGCGAGAACCAAGCACATTGATGTTAGGTATCACAAGAAGGTATCACAAGATCATCACAAGATCAAAGAATTGATTGCTTCTGGGGAGATACTGTTGCAAAAGGTTCATACTGATGAAACTGCAGCTGATATGTTGAATAAGTCAGTTACTATCAACAAGTTTATGCATTGCTTGGACTTTTTGAATGTCTGCAGTTGCTAGAGAAGCATGGTGGCCCAACCCACTTATGGTATGAAAGGAACTCCATGATGTATTTCTCCTAAGGGGCTGAATATTTGCTAAGGTGGAGATTTGTTAGATATGACTCATATACCATAAATGGACAATGCTAAATCAGGAGCGGAGCAGAGCAAAAGATTTTGTCCAAATCAGGGGAATTTCCTTATGTGGGTTGTAGGTGTGGTACAGGGGTAATTTAATAATTACATATTGTACCCAAAGTTTCCTTTTTATGTACTTTTTAGAGTTATAAATTAGGCTTGTATGTAACCCTAGGGATTATCTCTGAATCCCTGAATTCTGTACTTTGTACTTTTTTCTGAATTAGTGAAAAGTACCGCTCTGTTCGCGAGGACGTAGTCATCTTTGCCGAACCTCGTTAAATCTCTTTGTATTATTCTGGATTTGTGTCGTTCTTGTTTTTCTTAGCCCTAATTTTCTCAACACTTCTGCTCCAAGCCAACAAGAAGAAATCAAGAAGAGAACCTTCTTCTTCAACTATCTTCTTCTTCCTTCTGCAAAGAGTACCTTGCAAAGCACCTGCCTTCTTCTTCCGGTAAACCTCAAGAAGAATCCAAGCAGAGAATCTCCTTGCTTCCTGCCTTTACCCGTGAGCAAGAACTCCTTAAAGCGGAGAGTTCTACAGTTTCAAGATTAAGGAGGAGAGTCTCTGTTTCACGAGAGACGGAGTTTTGCGAGTTTAGGAGAGGCCGAGACGGGAGTTTCATTTTTGTGAACCGAACGTGACGAGGGGCGGGAGATGTTCGCGTAATGGAAAGGGAGGCGGGAGTAGTTTTTTTTTCTTTTTTGCTTTTTCTCGTGGACCGTCTACACTTAACATAAATAAATAAGAGAATAGACAAATTAAGGATTATTTGGTTGATTGGTTGTAGATTTGTATATATAGCTATCTGAAAGCTTCATAACTTGGTGAGAGATCGTTTAAGATATGAAAAATGATACCTTCATAGTCTATAGGTGATCCTGCTATTAATAATGTATTCACCTTGACTTTGATTTCAAATATATGTTAACTCGTGGATTAATCTTTCATTGACATGTGATGAAGTTCATTTTTGATTTAAATGATACCCGAACACTTAGTAGAAAACAGATGGTGGTCAACGCTGATCGACATTTCTATGTAAGAGTAACGATTGATCATGTAGAGTAGAAGGGAAGCAGAAATAATAGAGTACAGGGCAGCTGTGAGATTTTGATTGACAAGCATCCACAAGTTGTAGTGGGTTGGTAGTGATCATACAGTCGTCATGGAAGGAAATTTTAGATCATACAATCTTGAATAAGCAAATTCAAATTCAATCACACAAATTTAAATATAGAATAACAAATGCTGATTCAGCAAATATACAGTCTTGATGAAGGAAATTTAATATGCGTGCAAAACAAACATTAATTTTTCCATTATATCATTCACACAGCACACATTCTTCTGTCATGCTGCTAATGTGCAGAGCTTTGTCACACTCATCTTCTTCCGTCTGCCCTATATGCAATACCTTCAACAGCCTCTTCTTCTTTCACCTCTGCATCATCTCTAGTATCTTCGCTATCAGAGAGCCTCATCAACATCATCTTCTTTCAGCATCTCATCCTCTTCCTCCTCTCCTCATTTCAGAGCCTCAATTCCCTGTCCTTTCAGAGTTTCATTTGCTTCCTTCTTCTCCTTCTCTTGATCCTCACCATTCTCTAGTTGCTGAGCATTCTGAGCCTCTTGAACCTCTTGGTTCTGCTGACTCTTAACTTTACTCGGCTTGTTAATCCTACTAAATCTGCCTTTCGTGTTGAACTTGAAATGCCCTCTGGATCTGTTGGCGATCAGGTTTCTGCAGTGAGAAAACCGTTTCAAAAGCTCCAACCAGCGCCAGTACCTTGTTTTTCCTCGTCTCCATCAACTTGCTTTTGGTCTCTTCGATCACATCATTGCTCATAGGCACATCCTTTTTCTTCATCACCGGCATTTCAGTCACAACCGAGGCAGCCGTGGCTTCTGGATCCACTAGCCTCACACCAGCATTTACATGTTCCAGCTTCTTTTCCTCGCCCCTTTTCTCCACCATAGTGGAAACCACCACCACCCCATCTCGCTCAGGAATCTCTTCAAGCAAGATTGGTCCTTTGGAGACCTCATCAAACACCTGGGACGCCAAACCTTCTCCCAAATCCTCAGGCTCACCACTCTTATATTCGTCAGTTAGATTCTCTTCGTCAACCAGAGAACTAACAAACTTAATTTCTTCCTCATTCAGCTCATTCAAAGCTCCAACCACTTTCTCATGATGGTTCCACATTTGCTCCTGCACCGGCCTTTCAAAGGCTGTTGCAGCATCATGATCTGATGAAGTCCGGACTTCAGAAGGAGCAGCCATTGTAAAAGGGGCTTCTTTTTTCCTGACAAGCGTAGGTCTGGAGCTCTTAGCTTTACGAAAAAGGCTGGACTTTGCAGTTCTTGAACCAGTTGGAGCAGCTTTATCACCACGAAGCACAGAGGAGCTTCTCAGTTTTGGCGTGGGGGTGGCTGTCTTCATTGATCTCTGCAATGTAAGAGTTGAAGGCGCCTTGTCTGCTAATTTTCTTCCTGCGCGTGTTTTGCTAGTGGAACCTGAGGTAATGGTAGAGACTATAGGAATTCGCTTAGGTTGAGACAGAGGGGAAGGAAAAGCCTTGGGGTTGAGAGGATTGGTCAACGGCTTCTTCCCCTCCGGTGGAGATGGGCATGTGCTATCTCCACGGGTGAGAGAAGTCTTCAAGCTCCGTTGGGCAGGGGATGGGATGTTCTTCCTATCTCTATTAGAGGTGGTTGACTTAGTTGCCATCATAAGCTGAGCAGGAAGCAAGGATTTAGCACCTAAAAACAGAGGCTTTGATCAAATTTTATAACACTAGTAAGGGAGAAGGATGGGGAGATCTGAAGCCATGTTCAGAAAGAAAAAAACTGGGGGACAAAAGCTGAACCTAATATACAGTAGGGAAGATGGCTTGCAAATTCCACATTGTAGTTGGCTGGCTTAAAGGGAAGGCAAAGGCAATAATTAAATTAATAATAAAATGGTTGTTGGATGGACATTTCTAATCTACAAATTCCGCTTTTTAACAAAACATATCTGCATAATAAATTAGTAGTGTTAACCATGTAGAGCAGGTGGCATTTCATTATCCTCACTGTGTGCACAAATAATAATAAAAAGGCCTAATGCCCTTTTCTTCAACATAAACTGTAGACGAAAGAATCAAACAGGAAGATATTTTCTGCCGGTAATAATATCTGAGCAAAAGTAACAAGGTATCGAGATAAAAATTGGTGCTTTCACGTAGAAACAACAGACAGTCGCATAATCGGGAGCAAAACGCGGACAAGGAGGCAACTTGAAGCGTAAAAATAGAGTAAATCGGAAGAACGAGCAACCAACTGTACAAACAAATAGGAAATAATACCTTCGATTTCTTCTGTTGTTTGTCCCTTGTGTTGATGGAGATCGATTGTGAGGAGAATTCGATAGAGAGCAGAGGAAGAAGTGGTATGCGTGAAGTTAGAAGGCGGACGAAAGAAAGTGGAGTGGAGTTGAGTGGAGTGAGAAAATGAAGGGAAAGAAGGTGAGAACCATGACTTTATATGGTAAAAAATATTATATCAGAAATACAACGTAAAATTATGTTTGAAGTCTGCTCATACGAAGATATTTAAATGTGACATAAAATTAAAAAAAATATATTTTAGAATATTCCTCATGTGTTTCATATATTTTTGTAGTGATATTCATATGTTATTGTGTTCTTAGAATATTTTTGGTGTTATAACAACACAATAACACATCAATATCACAACAATAACATATGAATAATGCATAATAGCACAAGCATTTTCTTGAAGTAAGGTGTCCGCATATTAAAGGACTCCGAACGTAACTTTACATTAAGAGGTTCCGTGAGGCAAAACAATCAGCACCTTCACTATAATTTCTACAATTTTTTGGCTTAGTTATCTGTTTTCGGCCATAACTCAGCTCGTGACCAAAAAACAAGTATTCCCATTTAAAAAAAAGAAAAATTCCAATAGGTCGGGCTGAAAATGGGAAGCAAACCAAGAAGCACTCCAAAAGCCCATTAAATGCCTTCTATTTGTTGGGAAATTTACTGAAATGTCATACATCTAACACCCAAATTTTTTTTTTGCTCTTATTAGACTTTAACTATGCTTAAGAAGATGTATTTCATTTTTAAAGTTAATAATAGCATGTGATATAAAAGATTTTAGTATTATAAATGTTGAAATTAAAGTTTTGTGTTAGATATATAAATACATTAATATTGTGAGGCATGTATGTAATGCCCCCTTTTTTGTGTTAGTTATATAGCAGTTAACAAGTTGGAGAGGGTTCGATGAGTCTTGTATTTGTACATATTTGTCACATTCCTGGTCTGAAAGACGATATACCCCGACAACATATTGCATGATGAAATGAATTGAATTAGTTTTAAATTCTTAAAAAAATATTATATGCAAATAATAATAGAAACAAATAATGAAATATAAATTTTGGTCCATAATTAATAGTCTGCTTAGACAACAACAAGAAAAATAGAAAGCTGACTGAATTAAAAATTAAATGATAACAAGAAACGATTACCTAGACCCAAAATGAAAATACGATCACCAAAATAAAAACTAAAAAATATCAAAAATAAAAAACCTAAAACTAAAAGATCTGCTCCGGTGGAGATGGTTATGCTAGGGATTGAATAGAGCACTATCTGAGTAATTCCTAAATTATTTGTTAAGTAATTCTTGTAACTAGATTATGAGCTCGTAGCATTCCATAATGACCATCCAAATGGTGATTATTTTCATTTATATTTCTCCTTTTATTTTAAAGGAGTGGTCAGCTTGTTTATCGTCGTATACTTGCATTTTTTTAATATGTCTCTCTTGTGAATTATGTTAATGATCAGAAGAAGAGATGAACAAAAAATATGGACATATGACAAAGATCACGAACAAGAGAAAGAACGTGGATAGCCTACGTGTGATAAACCTTACAAGGATATGTCAAGTTTGTTTGTCCAAACAAGATTGAACGGAAGCACCTTAGACAACAACTATGAAAGAATACCTACGTGGACTACCCACAACTAGAGATTCGAGTTTGTATGATTGTTATGGGGTTTAAAGTTCTCCAAGAGGGACATATCCCATTTAGTTAATTACATCTCGGGGTTTGCCCAATAATATTCTTTATCCAAAGGAATTTTGTTTGCATTAGTAGTGAGGACTAGCATAGGACTATCAAAGGACAGTTATTTCGCATGGGAATGTTGTGATGCTTTCAAAGATCTCGCTAAGCCATGGGACAAAGAGTGAGTCTCTCTTGGTCCCTAAATGGGTATCAAACTCATCGGCATATCAAACATGCAAAATAAACTATCCCATCGAGGAATTCAGATATGACAAAGCACATCCAGGTCATTATGGTAGATGACAAATCATCGTATCCCAAACGGGAAGCAGCGTATTGGCAATTAGGCCGTCGAGATGATACCAACGAAGGCAAAAAGAGTGATAGGACTCAGTAGGGGTGTTGACCTCATTTGTTGTGAGGTCTAAATTCTTCTCCTATAACTAAGGATCTAGTCATAAGGCTTTCCTGTTGATTATCCTAGAAGGCTAGTGATGAAACCCACCCAGCCTAAAAATTCAAAACATTTCCAGACTCTTTTTGAAATCCCTCATGGGTTGTCTCATACCTACATCACTTGGGTGGTTGACACCAATATGTGAAAATTCAAGAATGAGTTCTCATAGAATCAACTGGCTTTAGGGAAACCATGTGTGGGTTGGTCATACACACACTCACTTAAATTCACCTCAAACTCCCAAAAAACCCAAATCTCAAATACATTCTTTTAATAAAATTTCCATGGACAACAAATTGACAAAGCCACAGCAATTTACAACAAATTCCACACAACATTCAAAATCCATTTCAATTCACATCAATATCCACACAAACCCAAAAAATTGTCACCTTTTTAATTTCCCTTATGACAATCATCTAATTCACCAATTGTCTCGTTTCATGTGTCAATGAGTTGAATTGTAGATAAAGGGTTTAGTTTGGTTTGGGTTTGATGTGGGCTTAAACCTAGCCAATAACCCCACCATACTACCCAAATAACCCCCAATAACACCACTTCAAAGCCATAATAACACCAGCCATCAAAAACCACAGTCAAACTCCTCAATAACACCAAAATAAGCTCAGAAACTTGTCAAATAACACCACGACGTGAATAAGTCGTCGAATAACACCGCGTGCCGTAATTTAATAACCACAATAACATCGATCCAACCCGCAAGCGGCGATTTTGGGTTAATAACACCGAAGTCTGACCAAATTACAATCATGAATAACACAATCTGTCATGGGACCGATGTAGCACCGCAATATAACTTGCAATAACAACGAAATAACACCCGCCTATACCAACGCAAACTCTTCAGCCACGTCAGGCCAATTCTACCCTTGCCCGCGTGATCCAACCTTAGTAACACCACAGTACGACCCCCAATAACACTGCATTTGCGTCTTGCTGCTAATACTTCTGAAATACAACTCGTAAAACACAATGAATAACACCATATGATATACATAAAATCTCAAATTTTTTTTCCAAATACAGACATCCAAATTCTTTCAACCATGCAAAAGTACACTCCTATAAGTGGTAAATAGAGGAAACCCTTTTCACCCTTGACCAAAAGTACTTAACCTCACCCATGTTTCACTTAGAACCAAAAATAAAATAAAAATAACCTAAAATCCATCTCAAATTTTCCTTAACCCAAAATCCACGTGACAAATTTTGTCCCCATGATTATTTTAATCAAACCATAAGTCCTAAAGTTCATAATTTAATAAATCAAACTTGGCCTCATGACACCACCTCATAAAGTGCCCCATTTTTCCACTTTCCTTCTTCATGAAAATAATTAAGCCCTATGTAAGCCTCTATATCATGACCAAGCCATATGTGAGCCTCCTTAGCCCCACACATGTCGTTCAACCCTAAATGGAAAAGGAGGACCTACTTTCAAGCCTCCAAGAAAATGCTTCACCTCATCCATAGCATATGTTCAAACTCTAGCCTCTGGATAGGACTTCATGATATAAACCCAAAGACCAAAAAATTGCACCAGCCACCATGGGGAGATGAACCAAGTCTTTCCCATCGACCAAACCCAAGTCAAACCAATAAGTGGTCTAACACTCATTCCACTTCAATCCACTCATGAACACATGACACAACTCAATTGACTGCACCACTCTCAACTCTTGAACTCCCTCAACAGGATGGTGATCACCCTTGGTCTGGTCGGCCACCTTGGCTGTCGAAAAATACCAAACCCGAGAGCACCACCATAGGGAAAACTCACAATTTAACCCACCATACTCCGCTCAATCTCATTGAAGCTCTGCCTGCACCTTACCACCAACTCAGCAACATTTTGGACACCTCAGCTTGCCGACTTGGCCACCATGGTCGGGTCTATAAATACACCACCACCCCATGACCAAAAAAGGGAAGAAGTGCGAAAACTTAGGGAGACTCTGCCAAAATCACTCCAAGCCTTCCTAGCACTTATATAAAGCTCATCCCCATCTTCCTTAGCCCTTCACATCCACTCACAAGCCCTAATTGTTCCACACAAAACCTGGACATTTTTCAGCTTCCAAAATTAACTCCACCAAAACTTGAAATAAACTGTTCCAAACGCTTCAACATAACCTAAAACTTCATTCCCCATCAAAATCCATTTTTTCTGTCCAAGACCAAAGTCGAGCCACCTTTTAATCAAGGTCATACCTAGACCCCATTTCAGAATAAGACAACACTTGGAGGAGGTTCCTAGGACCCAAGTGAAGCTACTACAACTACCTAATCACGACCTCACATCTCGGGCAAAGGTATAGCTCGAAAACACCTATTTTTGCTTCAATTTTGGACCTTTGTGAAGAGGATTATTTTTTTTTTCCTAAAGGAAGCCCTAGGTTATAAAGATTACATTGGACACATCCCTTGTGAAGCCGAGTGGTTTCTCGTGATAAGCCTTAGGTCAACACCCAAGCAGGTTGAAATCCCAATTTTCCCACGGCTTTGACGCTTCCAACCTTCCTTGGAGGGGTTGGGATAGTTCGATCTTGAAACATAGAAAAAACTTTAGAGCTAGCTCTTTCTACAAGATCTTGTGAGGTTTGTAGGATGAAAAAAACTTTGTAGCTAGTTCGCAGTACGAACGATGAAAGACATGTCCTACGAGAAATCAGAAGGTGAAATTTTTCACATTCCCTCCCCAAAGCCGGAGACGGTTATGCCGCAAATCTAAGAGCTAAAACCCAAGGTGGCTGTATAAGATCGCTAACATGAGTATGACTCATTATTATTTGTGATCACACACATCATATCATGTTGCATTTCATACATTTCATTTTGTCTCGACCTGTCACCCCGGCCCGGTCGACATCACACTTTGCCTTGACCGACCTCCCCGACTCGGTCTACATCATACTTGGCCTCGAGCGGTCGCCCCGGCCCAATCGACTTTTCACTTTGGTTTGACCGTCTAATCCCG